AATAATAGCATTAACAATAGATTTATATACAATAGATTATGAAGAAGGATATTATTATTAATAAGTATTAACAGTAATATAGTAACATTGAATATTCTGCAGTGTGGTATACACAACTCGTTGTTATGCAAGAAAGTCAAGTGAATTTGTATTACATAACTTGTAATCTCGGCAGTGAATCTGTTCATAATCACGGGTTTACATATGCATGTTATTCTGCTTTAATTACTCGAACTTGTCCATGATCAAATACAATTTTCTCGATATCCGCTGCAGGAATTTCTCAGGATAAAAGATTAGATCGCGAAAGTGCATTGCCAGTGCAGTTCACAATGATTTGTTGAGAGAGTTGGAATGTTCAGTATAAGACACAATAGGCAGTAGCCTCTTTTGTCCACCTCGCAGGAAGATGTAGTTCCTTTATTCAAATAGAAATTGAGCATAGAATTTTGTTCACTATAGAAAATCAAACGCGTCGGTTCTAAGTTATTACAGGAACGTCAGTTAGTAATTCATTATCCTATGCCGAGCATTATTTGCATCTCTTTGCAATTAGTTCTCTTGTACAAAAGCAAATGAATGCATCTAATTAACAGGAGAGTGTACTGGCAGCGACGAGACTGAATTAAGATGCAAATCTGCTGTTCAACGAGGTTATATACTTATGCGTGTCCTTGGACATAAATCATACATCGTAAATCTCATCGCGTCGAAATAATTCAGTACATTTGCCTGAGACGTCGATGACTGTGCTGAGATTCTTCTACATAGGAATTTTATTCTAATTGCGTCTCCGTGAAAAGATTCGCTTCCTACTAATGACGATACTACAAATTTTATATAATAACTCCTAAACTAATTCATTCTCGATCTAAGATATCCAATAATTTCTTAAAGCACATGCGAAGATCTATCAATTGATGACAAAAATTCAATTTTATTAAAACAAGTTTAAATAATCCTAATTTTTATTATTCAACGAACAGTTGTTCATGGATTTTATAAAACTTTCGTTTCAACAATTTTTTGAGTATATATTTTTGCGGAAATGTTACTTTAGAAAGAGGACCATTAGCGATAAACTGACAAAAAATGTTCCAGCAGCTCTAAGTAATTATACTTTATGTAATAATTATACTTTAATTATGCTATATTTTATACATTAATTATAATATTGTACTTTGTACAATAATTATAATTATAATATTGTACTTTATAGATTAATTATATTTTAAATATATTATACTTTATACACTCAGTAATTAAACTTTTCATTTAATAATAAAAATTAACATTGTTTGAACCCTTTTTAATAAAACTGTATCTTTTTCAAGAATTCACAGATCTTCGTATGCGGTTTAAAAAAGTATTCGCGATCTCAGATCGGAAATAAATTAGTTTAGCAATTATCAGTTTGGTCCCAAATCCCGCACAGGATCAAGCACTATGGCGCCGCGATAATTGATAATTCATAAAGCCTTTCTGGCTCGTAAAGTTGTCAGTCGTCAAAGCAATCCTCAATTTCGTTTCCCGAGCTCGATATTTTCCGCGCGTGCCGAATATTTCACTGAAATGGTATCGATAAAACGATTTTTAATTTCCTATTGGCCTCGGCGGCGGCTTAAATCTCACGTGATGACCACCATCTTTCACTCTACATAGGCATTGTCGGATGGAGCCGAGTATCGATTGGCATAAATCCTCGACACGTGAAATACTTCGCGCTTTTCTTTTCCACTGCGCTCTGCTCCAGAGTACAACAAAGACTGGCGACGGTGATGCGCTTCGCTTGTTAACCGCGCCACTGACGGACTTAAATTATCATTGATTATGCGGCGACTCATTCAACGGGGGAAACGGTTTCACGAGAACGTGTCTTGATTCCCGCTGTGAGGATCGATTCTTGCCCTGGCATCTTCGTTATACTTTTTGAAATACTTCGCGCACCCCTCGGCGATCGATGCAGAGAAAATTTACTCCTGTTAAAATTTATCGTGAACATTGATAATTTAGTGTCGGACCTCTTTCAAAGTGTCTGAACTTAAAAATACAAATATTTTCAAACACTGTTTCTCTCGATTGTGTATTTATGTCAATTTAAACGTTAATTATAATCTACAATATATGTTTCAATGTATAGTTAATTGTAAGCCACGTGGTCGTTAATGACCTTGTAGTTAACGCGACCATGCGAAAAGAAATGGAAATATTGCAGTCGAACAAATATTGACAGGCTACTCATTCGGATAAAAATTGTTTCAATAACAGCGACAAAACGTTAATTTGTAAGTTGTAATCAAGCGATCAGCGCAATTTTCTTATTTTTCTTTTCGTTATTTTGAGAATGATCGATGTCACTCTTCCGTCGATCTTCATTTTCTCCTTGGCCGAATTGGAACTGTAAAAGGTGCACAGTTGCATCGCTTATTTATGCAACTTTCGGCTGACAGGCACTGAACGTTTTGTTCGGTCCGCCTGGAAATAGTTCATCGAGTTTCGAGCGTGCTAAGGTAAACGGTTTCAAATGACTCACACGTCAGCGTTTGCAATAAATTAATTTTATCTGGGTGGCGTCCTATGTTTATAAAACACTCTTGACCCTTTGCTGGTCTCGGAAATCGATGTACGGGGTGTCTCGTTAAGAATAAACCGTTAAAATATTTTCTTCTAATCTGATTGCATAAAGAACGTTTCGTATGCAATTGGAGCACAGTTGAGGCGTAACGATGATATCTGACACATTTTAAAGATACCGGAAACGATGATCCCTCGACACGTTTCAATGCCAGCTACAATACTCACGGGGAAACAATATACATATATGTATATGCGAAAAGGTATATCGGCGATGTTGGAGGCTTCGAGGAAGTTATTCTGGATCAACAATATCGTCTGTAGCGTATTGGTACTTCGATACGATTTGAATTGCATGGAAAAAGCTTTTTGAGACACCCTATAGGGTGAGCAGCTTTGGCACTGTTACATATTTCATCAAGACAACGTTGGATCACAGGTTGCATTAAACACGCAAAGGGAACTTGAAAGACTTTACTGTGGAAATTCTTGGTGTTATCAAGCATGACGCTGTCATGCTGCCGTTACGCTTGCCGATTAAAAATTCATTTCACTGCAAAAGTGATGTAAATACCGTAATACAATTTTCTTGCGATAATTAATATTCCATGAAAATCTTTTTAAAAATACGGGACACTTGTGAGAGGCTATGAATGAATTTTTATATTAAATAAAACTGACGAGTTGATAAATAATGTCTATTCAACGTTATTCCTGTAACATTGTATTAACGTTATCCATTTTTAAACTAATATACCGAATGTACTAATAATCAAATTACAATTGTGTTATGCAATTTTCTGCATCCAAACAGTTGATCGTAGATTTTCTCAGTCATTCCGTTTACGACGTACACGAATTTGAAAATACGTCGGCCCCGAGTGACACTGAATATGTATACCTCGCGTGTCTGTTCATTGTTTACCGTTTCCACTTATCGTTACGATTAACTATCGGATGGCAGAATGCCAGAATGTCAAACAAAAAGCAAAGCTAGGTCACTCGTGAGCAATGCTTGTTATCTATGCATTGGAAATTGATCGGATTCACCATATTGCACTTTAGTAAACCAAACTTCATTCTTCAGTCAATGTTTGTCGGATATATTAAAAATTCAACTAAGCAAAAATCATACACAAATAACAAAGGATTAATACAACAAAACTATGATTTTAAAGTTATTCGTCGTTGTTGAAGGTTTAGAAATTCTCTCGTTCCAAAAGTAATTCTAAGAAGTAACAATTTAAACGAAGGATAAAATTTAACAAAAGTACAATTTTTAAGAGACCAATCCTTATGGATGATTCGTAAATCTTCTCCAATCGTTCTAATCTTCGAAAAATAATTTTAAAAAATAGCAATTTCAACGAAGGATTAAATATAACAATAAAGTACAATTTTGAAGTAATCCATCGTCATTGAAGGTTCTCACAAATTTTTCTTCCATTCTATTCCTCCGAGAATAATTTTCCCAGATGTCAATTTCAACGAAATTTGCAAAATGAAAAGGAACAAAAATTTATTGTCATCCATCGTAATTAAAGGTTCACGAAGTTTCCAATTCTAACATTCCAAAGATAATTTTCAAGAAAGACTAACCACAAGAATTCGCAACTCTGAAAAAAATATATAAACATATATAAAAACGAAAAGCGAACTTATTCGAAATTAAATTCTCGAAGGAAATTCTGCTTATTTTCCCACGAAGATCCCCATGGAGCCGCGATCGCACTGCTCCTCAGCACAAATACCGCAGGCGATGGGTTTCGAAGGGAATAATAACTTTCAATTTCACGGGACGAAGGGTATGGAAATCCTTATGAGGAAGCACCCTCGAGGAACAAAAAGCATCGTAAAAAACAAGATCGGCGGCTGTCTTCGCGGAAGAAAAGGGTTGCAGAAGGCGACGGGAAAGATCCGGGAAAACAGAGAGTCCGTGCTGATATTTTCCGAGCGTAAGCTCCTCGCGCGAGGCAGCTTCATAAATTTTCTTTTTCGTCGCCGTGTCGCGGCCGAGATGAAGTATGAAACTCCAACGCCCCACCTTCGTTCAAGTGTCTCCGCGCCGCTGCCATAAAACCGGGCCGTATAAGAAGCGTAAACGAAGCCGGATCGAGAGGTTTCGACTGCGCTGAAAATTCATAGACGCCCCAGAAATGCCGGCCAGTGATTCGTTCGGCCCCGAATCCGCTCCCCTGTCCATGGGGGAATATTTTAACGGGGATCCAAGGTATCCATCTTGCCGCCCTTTTCACCCCCGTGCGGACATGCGTCGGTTAGCCTAAAGCCTCGATCACATGCGGAAATAAAACTTGCTGAACACCCCATTTGTTCGCGCTAATGCCGAAGTTAGGGAACCGCTGTACTTTAACGCGCCGAAATCTTTCTTTTCTATGGCGCTTTGAAGACTGTCTTTGCGAACCTTTTTGCAGTCAGAGTCGGATCAAAATATTTCAACTAAGAAATCGAAAAATTTGCGAATATTATTTCTCTATACTGTGTTACCTATGCTTCGTTTAAAAGAGTAATTTATTTCTGCATTAAATGAAATATTAGTTGAAATAATTGTCTATGCTTTATTTAAGTAAATTATTTCTGCATTAAATGAAATATTAGTTGAAATACTTCATCGATTTTACAAATATATAACAAGTATTTCAGATGTACATTTCATGATATGAACCTGAAATACACCTCATTGAAATAAATATTTTCTTTATTGCGCGTGAAATGGAAATCTGCAATATTATCTCCACGAAATTTTACGTGATTATGTATCGAATATGTGCATTGTTAAAATGCAAACAGATGTTAAATGTTCCAATTGCATTGATTGTTTAAGACAATTGTTTTCGAATTTATATTTTTCGTACAAAAATCGTGTAAAAATGTTTTAAATCAATCGCAAGAGTGTGACAGTAATTTGACATGAACTTGTATTTTTTTTATAATTATAAGAAGTCGAGAATATCATGAAAGTCTTTTTAAATCCGTCTAATGTTTTTACAATTACGTGTTTTCATCTATTTATGTGATAAATGTGTAAGATCTGTGGTCTAATAATTATATAATCAAACATACCCAATTATTTCACCAGAATTAGAACTATACGGTTCATGAATTGAGAATATTAGTTTATCATTGACCTATACTACTTGGTATCTACACAATTCTGCATCATTAACCGGTCACAAAATTATTTGTTCGTAAAGACCCTAGTAATATATGACAGCAATATTGACACAGTTTTCGAGATCCATTAACATTGTCGCACGTAACCATAATTCACTCACGTGAAGGTATTAAGTTGCTTGAAAAATTCAAGGACCACTCTATTATTGACTCGTACCACTGTCATCTCATAAAAAAAATCCATCTTTCACGATTACCTTTAGACACGCTGGTAATAAAATGACTTCTGACACACACTTAAGACAATTTCACCAAGAGAGGTCTTCGATTTCATCCATAATTTCGCTCGTAAAAGTACCTCAGCACTTTTACAACACGAACGCCGTCTCCCGCATGATTCATAACAGAAAAGGATCATTAGGTCCACGGTTCGAAACGTGAAAATTTTATTCCTGCCGGAAAGGGCATTGGATCAACTTCTTCGTTGCTTTTATGATACTCTTAGGAAATGCATCGTGGAAGCACTCGAAGGGAATTGCTAGCCTATCTCCCATGGGAGAAATGACTTTGTGTTATTTCTGCGGGAATATTTTAAAAATTATGAATATTTTCGAAATTTTGACCAAATCATTTTATCCTTCGTTTGTACATCAAACATGCAACCTTTTTCGAGAAATCATTCCATCCTTTGTTCGTGTATTAAAAGTATATTTCGATCCAATTATTCCATCCTTGGAACACGAGGAAATCGGACCCTTGGCGTCACGTTGTTTACGCACAACAATTTCCCACAGTCCAAGGAGCAAACATTTACTTAACAAACAAGTATAAGCCCTGAGAATGGATCAAGTGTACGAGAATCCTTATTTGAAGCAGTTCGTAGCGAACCTCGATGGTTCGCAAATGTCACAATTTCTGATGGTTTACTTATCGAAAATATTAGACAGATCGTATCCTAGCATTTCATGTCACTCTTTAGATTTTGCATCGATAATTTGGAATTGCTGCGATTTAATTAAACGTGCTGCATTGAGTATTTTAGACACTATAAAATTTGTACTGTCGATTTCTTATTTGTGATAAATGCTACACATTTTTTAAACGAGAAATTGAAATATTGAAATATTTATATTTAATATCGATTCTTTACTTATGGTTGTATTACGTTGTCAATTGGAAAGGTGATTAAAATTAGAGATTAACTGGTCGAGTAAAAGTATACAACGAAAATGAATGAAAACTACTGGGAGAGCATTTTGAAAAGGATCAAATTAAGAGCGACTTTATCAGAATTTTCATGAACTCAATGATTCATAGCCGAGGAGATCCCTTAATCAATTTTTCAACAGGCAATTTCTATCGCGAATCAATAATTCATGTCAAAAAGCCATTCGTCTGGAAAATATTTAAGGAAAATGTCAATATTTCCTAATATTTGTCAAGGCGAAGGAAAATAAATTTCCGCGACGAACGGGGTAGCCGAAAGAAATCAGAAGATGATGAATTAGTGGAAGATTCGAGTTGAGCATGCTTGACGGAAGACTGCGATCCTTCTTCCCTTTCGATCGATATACGATCTTGAAGGAAAGCTTGCCATAGCTATCACGGCTGCTTGCATAGTACATAAAATTGTTTACTGAAAGCGCTTCTTCTTTCTTGACAATGTAAAAAGAAGAATATACTCGGAAGTACTTCGAAAAGTATTTAAAGAAGGCATCCATTTTCTGTTGCTTCCAGTACTGAATAATAGATCGGATCCACGTGTCCGCTTTTACTTCATTCAATAAATTATTTAATTCCGTAAGTTTGTTCGATTTTCAACTTGTTTTACGAGGAACGTTACACAATCGGGTTCTCCGATTTTAGACCAATTTTGTGCGTTTCTAGAATGGGAAAAGATTGCAAGTATTTTTAGTTTTAGGGATGCAATTACTTTCGGTAATCGATGATTTATTTTCAAAATAATTGTAAATTAAAATACACTTCTAGAAGGGTGACAGATTGGAGAAATATATCTTTAGGTTTATATATATATATACATATAGGGGCGAAACTACCCCGGAAAATTGGTGATCGATTTTCGAAATGTATAAATTGAAATATAGCGTTTTCAGGTATTATTTAATCCGAATAATTTTCTACAATAATAAAGAAATTTTAGCGACTTACCTTCTCAAACATCTGGCCAGTGTTCGCGAAACCAATGTAATTAGAGCTGACCCATCTGTCGGCCAGCAATTCGGCGAAAGATACTGCTTTTTGTACACCAGTCTTGTACAGACCCATTATGATAAATGATTGCAATGGCGGCCACGCGTTCGGGTAGTCCCATTGTTCTCCCGTGTAATGTAGGGACGATGGTGTGCCACCTGGCCAGTAAAAAGGACAGACGAATCGTGAAAATAATTTCGATGATGAAGTGTACAATTAACTTTTCGAGCAAATATATTTTCGTATTTTCACCATAATCAATTTTATAGTCTGAACGCTTAACTTTTCTCCAACTGTTCATTTTGTAAAATAACCTACGAAAATTGGAATTCTAGTGCAAATTAATCTCATCCGAACCTAATGAATCATTTCATTTGATGTTTAATACTTTCACGTGAAGTTATGGAATTTTAAACAGATGCAACACCAGACACCTGCAAACAGAATCCTGTGCAGCGTAATGCGTTAAACTTTCTGTAGTCGTAACTCTGTGGAAACAATGTACAACTTTGCGACATTAATCTCAGTTATTAGAGTAATCTACCGTCTCCTTAACAAGTCGGTAATACTGATTATACCACTGTAGCTTTATTACAATAGGGAGTGGTCAAAACCCCACCAAATGGTGAAACACAGAGACAAGTATTATTAAAGGATCACATATCGCAATCTTGTGTTTCGTTCCGCGTGATAGATGGACTTTTAAACAATTGTAATTATCTTAATTTTATAAAGACATAATTACATTGTATATTAATTTTAGATCCTTATCACAGTGAATTTTCTACTACAGAATACAATTTCAACTGGAATATTAAAATAATAAAGACTAATCAATAGAATCATCGTAAGACCACTGTACTCAAGATTTGTATAATTAAAGAAGATAATTTCAAAAACTAAATATGTAAAAATTTTACTGTATATAAATTGAAATTTGCGTAACCGAAATTGACAAAAGAGTTAAAAATTTGCGTTGAATACTAACAGGCTCAGAGAATGAAAAATAATATAAAAATATAATATATCTCAGCAGTAATAAGCCTGAATAATTGAGCTATCGTTAAATTACTGAACTAATTAACATAAAAATTTGCATGACTAATTTCCATGACAAAATTTCGTTAAAACACGACGATGTGGATTCGGTGGATAAGAAATAAAATACAAATACATGTCGGAAATAAAATGCACGAAGAAGAGGTACATAGGTATTAAAATTAGGACACCGCTGTCGATATATAGAAATGATTCCCATGAGAGTCGCGTCAACGGATGCAGAAAACCTAGCACGTTAAAACGAGTTGTACTCCATTCCGATTACGATTTTTCGTAGCCGAGATATCATCGTTTAAAGTGATGCATAATTTCGAGATATTTCACTGTCGTTTTCTTTCTCCTTGCCCGCGGACCTCCCGCTCTCACTGACACACTGATCTACCCCACCGTTGTCACCTGCGCGGCGGTCAATGACGGCGGCTGAGTCAGCTCACCTTTTACTGCCACCACTACTACGACTAGACGTGCGTACAGAAAAAAAACTGGGTCGCGCCATTTCTTGCTTTTCGGCTGAAAGTTTACCAGGCTCCTGCATTATAATACTCGTCTCCGACGTTTGCTATCTCGGCCATCGGTTACGCCGTCGGATTCCAGCGAAATGCGGCGTTGAGAATTCACTTTGCTTCGGTCTCTGGTCAAAGCTCGCAGCATTTTTTACGCTTTTCCATTGACATTGAACCAGATCGTTTTGGCAACCGACATTTTAATACTTTAATAGTTCCTTCAATCGTGCTCCGAGAAATTTGCATGTCTTATTTCATTTGATATTCTCGATTGAATATTTGTTCATTCGAGAAATGCCGAATTTCTCCTAAGTCGTAGGAAGCTTCGAATTTTTCAGCAGTAGTGTGTACCTTTTTCGACGTTTTTAAGATATTTGGTATCAAATTAAATAGTATTTTATGGTTGAATAAACATGTTCGAAATTTCAAATATTACAACTTAGCAGGGCATTCAGAAATTTTCTGGAGATTAATTGTTAGTTAATCTCGTTTTCGAAATGATTGACTTTCAGTAGATTAAGCTCGCCACGTCTGCTCATTGCTGACTAACTCTACTTGCTGCAAGCACGAAACTTTCATTTTTAGTTTCAATGCTACGGACACGAAAGTTTTTTTAAAAATTGAATGACTGGTTCTATATTTATTATTTTCACGTGGTATAACTATTTCTTGATCATCCATTAATCTGCAATAAATCAAACCGTGAACTACACAGAGCATCATTTAACATTTTATTTATCAATTTTTGTCAATATATTTTTCAAGACACTCCTTCTGTATGCGTTATTTTATCCAGCATCTTTTTTCAATGCAACGTGTAATAATTTCATTTAATTATCAGGAACTGTATTCTGAAAGAACAGTATTAATACTTTGGGTCTAAATAAACCCGATGCCGAATATAAAGGTGAGAGTCGAAATAAAATAGTCGTAACAAGACTTTTGCCGACATCATTACGGATAGCATGACGCAATGAAATGAAAGAGAAATCCCCCAGCAAAAAATCCTTTCCCTCGAGGACACACGTCAAATCGAATTCTTAATACACCTATTCGACTGGCCGAATGGAGCTCCGCTTAGCTACATATTCTCGGACCGATAAACGCTGCTCTTTCAAGCAGCGGACGGCACACAGAGGTGAACATTCGTCTCTTATCTCGATTCCATTCGATTTCATTCTTACGAGAATAACTTTCGTGGCGCAGATTTCTTCGAGGCTGACAAAAGTTTAAATTGAATCGCGGCGATGAAGAGAACGTGAAGGACATGGGAATTAAAGCTCGAGTGGAGTTCCAGTCCTTGTTTACGATTCGGTTTTTTTTCATTTCTCAAAATCAATCATTGAAGGCAATCGTCTCACCTAAGAAACTATTGATGCCTTCCGATTGCAGATATTTCACCGCCGATAAAGCGTATTCCTCGCGTTGCGCCTGATTGTAGCTCATCGTGTACAGCGGCGCGACGTTCGTCGGGTAAAATGTGTTTCTAGGCTGATTAGTCTTCAGGTTGTAGTCCAGCCAGACTCCTTTCTCTTCGTTCCATAGGACGTTGTCGATTGCTTGTTGGATTTGAGCCGCCAGCTTGTCGTAAGACGCTGCTTTCTGGAAATTGTGTTCAGAGAATTTAAAGAATGAAAGAGTATATATATATATATATATATATATATATAGCTTCGGATCGGAAACAAATTTCCTCCATTCGGAGTTGGGCCAATTTTATTTTAAACAATAAATAACAAACTACAAATTAAATGGATATTTAATTTGCGAATAATTCTAATATTTTAGTTTATATAAATAATAATAATACAAATATAATAATACAATTTTATTTATAATAAATTCAATTGCAAATAATAATAAATTTTTTATCTAATTAAAAAATCGCTTAAATAATTCCACAAATAATTTATTTGTTATTTCTTGTTTGCAAATAAAATGTTATCTTTTATTTAAATCTTAGAGAAAGAGAAATAGTAAATAGGTTTTGCTTCTCTTTCGTCTGTTGTATATTTTATATTGGTCGATACAATGGTTAGTCGTAACCAATACAAAATTCTGGCTATCAGTAATGATTATTCATAACGGAAAACTATTTCCGTCAATTGTAACGGTTATCAGTAATGAATTAACATCCACGTCATCGATAACCGTTATTTATTCTAAGTATTTTCGTCATTTGTATATAATGACTATTAGTTACCAAAAGCTATTTCCGTCATTTATAATGGTTATTGGTAACCAAACAAATTCTAATGACTTACAATCATTAATTGGTAACCGAACTCATTTTAAGCAAAAATTTCGTGGTTACACTTGAAATTTTCTTCCCATTTTCGTTCTAAGTGTTATGGTCTCTGCTCTGGGTGCATGTGCATTTCGCGCGTCGACAGACAAGCTTCATCAACGATGGTATCGCGTGATTCGCTTATTGTTTCTTTTCGGCGAAAGTTATACAGCGGCCGAAGGAAATACATAGAGAACTGCTGATCGTTAGGCATAATGGCTTCTGCGAAGTGGGACGAGCAGTCCGGGCTTATCTTTTGTCATTCCGATTTGTTGCACGTGCTCGCGTGCCTTCATTTATGCCGAGAAAGGAGGCGTCGTTTGTACACGAACAAGGAAGCCCGGATTAAACAAGTAGAATGCCGGAACACCGGCTACAATTCACCTGCTTTAATGACTTAACGCCGGTGAGATATCGCACGGAACTCTGATAATCTCCGCGGCGCGGTGGAAAGCCGGTTTCTCTCAACGGTGGAAACTTTCGCAAAGGGAATATTTCATTTTTGGCAACGGTCATCGAGCCTGGAATCGATGATTTGGAGAAGTTCGAATCGCAGACTCACGAGCTCGTTTGTCACTGTCATGTAGCGCCGCGCAACTTTTAAATGGGACCTCCCTGGAATCCAATATAATACTTTCTATAAATTTCTCGGTTTAGCGAACCGTACATTGTGCACACTGCCATGCAAAAGTTCCCGATCTCTCCGTGAACGAGCGGAGGAAATATTGCGTGAGTTTGACGAAAGAAAAATAATTCGTATTAAATATTATAACCCGTGATTCGTAGATTCGTGACAAATATCGGTAGACCGAGCTTTCTGACAAGAACGAACACGTGAGAAAATATTTAAAAAAGTTTAAGAGCATTGTTACACTTAATTACAGTACAATATCTTCGACTCGTTAAAATTGTTAAAATTGTCAAAAGATAAACTTCTATTTTATTTTTGCTTCTAACACAGAAACTGTTTATTTGCAGCTTCGTAATCAATTTATTGTTCATTTAATATGTTATGAGAATGAAATTTTCAATGAATATCGTGCATACAAATGAAGTGGAGCCTCGATTATATGAAACTAATCGGGAATTTTTACCGATTTTTATAATAAAAATAGTGCTTCATAGAAATTATATTACAAATTCTGATAGAGGTTCTACTGTAATTATGTTGTAAGCATTTTAAATCATTAATTTGGTTTCTTAGTAGACGTTAAGCTTGTTAATAATAAATCTTTGCTCTAAAGTCGTTTGCACTTCTAAAACATTAATGAAAATAATTTTGTGCGATGTCTAGAGAGTCGGTCTCGTGTTGAATACAAAAATTTTGTGAAGACAGAAGGGAGTTTGAGAAGTAAGGAGGCTGGGAGTGGTGGATCTTAATCAAATTAGAACGAGTTGTTTGAAACGACGAAAGAGACGTGCCTGTTTCAAGTTTCGTAGAACTTTGTACATTTAATGTCTGATGAGGAAACTAGAAGAACTGGGGAGATAACCGAATTGTTTCTCTATATTTCGTTTCCCTTTAATTGGCTAACAAACGTTCCATGAATCCTGTTCTGACAATCTCCTACATAGATAACTAATAAAAAATATATGGTACACTGAATAATGCCAAGCATTTGTGAAATTTTACCAGTATTTCTTAGTCGAATTAATTAAATAAAGACTACAATTTTAAAGACTACAATTTTTAACAGAATTGTTATAGATTTTTGTTAGAAATTTAAATTGTAATTAATTTTGTATAGAAATTTATATATAAATAATATTAAATAGAACACAATATGAGCCGTTTATTTTGAAAGTGGCATAAGTCACTTTGTTTTTAAGTCGATATATTTAAGGGCTGTCTCTTATACACATCTACCACTTTTCATTACGGTAAAGTGACTTATGCCACTTCAAAATAAACGGCTCATATAATGATCTGTCTCTTATACACATCTACCACTTTTCATTACGGTAAAGTGACTTATGCCACTTCAAAATAAACGGCTCATATAATGATCTGTCTCTTATACACATCTACCACTTTTCATTACGGTAAAGTGACTTATGCCACTTCAAAATAAACGGCTCATATAATGATCTGTCTCTTATACACATCTACCACTTTTCATTACGGTAAAGTGACTTATGCCACTTCAAAATAAACGGCTCATATAATGATCTGTCTCTTATACACATCTACCACTTTTCATTACGGTAAAGTGACTTATGCCACTTCAAAATAAACGGCTCATATAATGATCTGTCTCTTATACACATCTACCACTTTTCATTACGGTAAAGTGACTTATGCCACTTCAAAATAAACGGCTCATATAATGATCTGTCTCTTATACACATCTACCACTTTTCATTACGGTAAAGTGACTTATGCCACTTCAAAATAAACGGCTCATATAATGATCTGTCTCTTATACACATCTACCACTTTTCATTACGGTAAAGTGACTTATGCCACTTCAAAATAAACGGCTCATATAATGATCTGTCTCTTATACACATCTACCACTTTTCATTACGGTAAAGTGACTTATGCCACTTCAAAATAAACGGCTCATATAATGATCTGTCTCTTATACACATCTACCACTTTTCATTACGGTAAAGTGACTTATGCCACTTCAAAATAAACGGCTCATATAATGATCTGTCTCTTATACACATCTACCACTTTTCATTACGGTAAAGTGACTTATGCCACTTCAAAATAAACGGCTCATATAATGATCTGTCTCTTATACACATCTACCACTTTTCATTACGGTAAAGTGACTTATGCCACTTCAAAATAAACGGCTCATATAATGATCTGTCTCTTATACACATCTACCACTTTTCATTACGGTAAAGTGACTTATGCCACTTCAAAATAAACGGCTCATATAATGATCTGTCTCTTATACACATCTACCACTTTTCATTACGGTAAAGTGACTTATGCCACTTCAAAATAAACGGCTCATATAATGATCTGTCTCTTATACACATCTACCACTTTTCATTACGGTAAAGTGACTTATGCCACTTCAAAATAAACGGCTCATATAATGATCTGTCTCTTATACACATCTACCACTTTTCATTACGGTAAAGTGACTTATGCCACTTCAAAATAAACGGCTCATATAATGATCTGTCTCTTATACACATCTACCACTTTTCATTACGGTAAAGTGACTTATGCCACTTCAAAATAAACGGCTCATATAATGATCTGTCTCTTATACACATCTACCACTTTTCATTACGGTAAAGTGACTTATGCCACTTCAAAATAAACGGCTCATATAATGATCTGTCTCTTATACACATCTACCACTTTTCATTACGGTAAAGTGACTTATGCCACTTCAAAATAAACGGCTCATATAATGATCTGTCTCTTATACACATCTACCACTTTTCATTACGGTAAAGTGACTTATGCCACTTCAAAATAAACGGCTCATATAATGATCTGTCTCTTATACACATCTACCACTTTTCATTACGGTAAAGTGACTTATGCCACTTCAAAATAAACGGCTCATATAATGATCTGTCTCTTATACACATCTACCACTTTTCATTACGGTAAAGTGACTTATGCCACTTCAAAATAAACGGCTCATATAATGATCTGTCTCTTATACACATCTACCACTTTTCATTACGGTAAAGTGACTTATACCACTTCAAAATAAACGGCTCATATAATGATTGTGTGTTCGATCGAAGCATCATAAAAAACGATGTTCAAATCACATTGTATGAAAGATTGCGCAACGATTGGCAATAAATATCTTTAATAAAACCATAGAGTTGACAGACGATAGATATAAATTCTCTGTATTATGCATACAGGAATGTGTTAGTGACAAACAAGTGTTAACCAACCTAGCTACGAATGAGAACGTAGTGCAAAGGGTTGAGCACTAAAATACATTGAATTGTACGTAAGATGGATTTACAGCGATTGCGTAGATGAGTACCGTTTTTAATTGGACCTAGTGACAGGAGCAACAAGTTCCATGAATAGAATCTAAAGACATTCGGCTTTATCATTTTGCAGACTACTCACTCTGAAGTTTCCGAGGATCCTATGAAATTGACCCAGGAGTCGCGCGTTTTGTTGCAAAATCGCATTAAGGTCGACAGGTATAATATACTCGGTCGAGATGTTCACTAAACCGAGCTTTCCGCCTACGGTATCTCCATTAAACCACCTGTTGGAAAAGTCCCAGCCACTTTCGGCGCCGGCTTTTATATTGTTGTAAAAGAACTCCTGCGAATTTGCGGGCAGCTGCTGCGCTATCTCGTAGTCCTCCCTAAAATACAAGTTCCCAATTGTCATATTGTCGTTTACGCATCTAAAAATGTTTGCTTGCCGCGATAAAAGCGCCGAACACAAGAGCGAAACAATTGTCTCCGGTATCGTTCCGTCATTCAATAAACATCTCCGATCGAGTAACAAAAATGTTCAATTTTCTACTAAAATCAAGATCTACTATTATATCTTATATTTATAAATTGAAAAATACAGCATAACTGTGTCATTCAGCTTTGAATTTCACGCATTTTGCAATCATCGATATGAAAATAATATATTTTAAAGCAGTGCAATTTTTCAGGCTGATTAAAGTTGCTCGTTCTATTTAACCGTAAATGTAACATCGTAAAAATTCGTGTAGAAACGCTATTCTATTCCCGTTAACTCGATGAAAGACTCAATTTATGCTCTCCAGTAATTTAATATTATTCCCCGATAAATTATGGTTAATCATGTTTAATCGAATAACGAGGTCTTACTCGTTCGATGTAATTTTGATCGGAATCCACGCGTGAACCGTGCCGGACTATAATACCATTAAAACATCATGAAAGGAACTGCAAACAACACAGCCGAATGAAATTTAATTGCGAACGGATTTGAATACACTGTCGAACCGTAAGCGTGACTGCAAGGCGGGATTGCACGTGCGCCTGCATTTAATCGCGTCTACGGCTGCATATTAACGCTTCTAAGGAGTTTCAGCTCGAAGCATATAAATATTTGCCTGGAACAACGGCCAACTCAATTTCCCGTACGTGCGTGCTCGCGTGTGGGTGTAACGTAATACTACGAGCGGGCTTAATTTGTCACGCGTTTACCACCATTTAATGGTCAGTTTATCTTCGACGATAGTAATTAACATTTAAACGATGCATGTGCATCGGGGCAGTTGCACTGCATGATATCTCAACTGGAACAACATGCATTTTATTATACACATATTCTTTCTCAACTTTCGGATTATTTCCGAATGAGGAACTTTTTACAGCCGTGTTACGGCTCAAAAAGCTCATTTAGCTCTTCTCAAGAAGCGAAACATTTTCGTAAAAGACGAATTCGTTCAGTTTCACTAGAAATAAAGAAACTATATAAAAATTGTGCGGAGCATTTTACTTGTAACTCTCGGGCCTCGGTCCGTTGCTGCGCACGACGTAATGAGCCATCTTGTAGGTCTTCCCGTTCTTCCTCACGTTGGTCAACCTCTCGTTCTGCCAGAACGCGAACTCCATCTCCAACGTGGATATGATCGAATGCAGGTAATCGTAATCTCCCGTGAAATCCAAGTACCTCGAGACCTGCGCCGAGCAAACAGAAAGAACGGTGAACGCCGAGCCGGTAACGCAACGGGCCGCAAAGTTTCGCGACATCCTCGAACCTGCCTCGAAACTTCAATAACCTCGGAATCAACAAACGACAAGAGCTCGCGAGCTTGTAACCGAGTGTCTCCGCTGGAAACACATTAAAGGGCTCGTTGCATCGGCAAGTAGGCGCTTTGAATCGGACTTCCAAGGAGGAACGCGCGGAAGGAGAGTTTCAAAACCGATAAGTCGCTTCTCGAGAACGCTGGTCTGCTCGTTTCCAACCGCGATTTCTCCACCGATTCCGCCAACAGGATCGAGATAACGCACTTCCAATCTTCGTTAATGTGATCCACATTGATTCGTTATGAAAGTGCTCCGGATTTATGCAGGAACACGTTAACACTAAGCCTACTCAATCCTAAACGTGACTGACGCGTGTTAATCGTAACGACGAGAAGCATGAATTTCTTTAATGTTCTCACAATTATTTACTGTGCGATGACCAATTGCTGTGTGCCTCCGATTTGCTTGAAATTTATCAAATTTGATTATTCTTTTATTTTGTTTATTTTTCGATAAGAAAATTTAGTACGTCTTATTCGATATATATAAATGTAATTATACCCGGAAACAATTTTTTTCATTGAAAAATAAACGTAATAAAAGAATAAAAGAATATGAGTATGTCTTATTCGATAAACATAAACTCAACGATGTCCGAATCTAGTAATTTTAACACGAAGTCGCAAAGATCGTAATCAATTAGGAATCTTCAATATTATTTGCAATAACGCAGTGGAACAATAAATATGAAATCCGAAATTCCGTGTAATTCAACAGAAAACAGAGATCCCGTTTTTATTTTATGAGGAACAATCGCGTCTCAAAACAATCCAATCGATGGAAAATCGTTCGTATTAGTTCTTAATACTTTCTGAATTGCTCCGACTTTCGGTGAAATCGTTGCTGCGGATTCGGCCCTGTTATTCAAGGTTTCCGGAACGTTAAGTTGCCCGTTGCACCGACAAACGAGAATACAATGGCACTGTGAAACCAATCATTACCGGGGTCGCCAGCAGCGATAGCAAAGTCGACCGAGAATTCGATGGAATTATCAATTTGTTTTCGTGACTTAGTTCGTAGCCGGCAGTTCGGCTTCGCGATTCCGCTCCGTTTCGTCGAAATAAATAGCTTCTGCAAGATTTCTCGGGAATATTTTCTTTATCTGAATTGACTCGCGAGATTCCGCGGAAACGGCGGATCCAGATACGGGGAACGAAGAAACTTTTGAAACGCGATTTACGGCGGCGAGGCAGCCGAGAGTTTGCGGGCGAGGGCTCGAGATTATTCCTTGATTTGTCAAAGAACCGGCTCCTCCCGGCCTGCGCGCGGATATTCGCGGCAGTCCGCGAAACATTTTTCGCGTGCACCGAGATTTTCGCGTGCTCCGAAATGTGCTTTACTCCCCGTGCGTGCACGGAGTTCGTACGCTAACGATCTCCGCGTTGCTCGTCTACTTCCAGTTCGTAGATTACCGCTCTTCCACATGTCGTTTCCGGTAATTTGGGAGCCGAGTGCATGTTTTTGTATTCAAGCTTTGATAAGCCAGAACTGTAGTTAAAAGTAACAATTTCACTTTGTACCACGATTGCGCAGAAATTCATTATCACTTCGTATTATGTTACTCTTCTGGTTTTTCTTTTTAATTTATTTCTGTATTTATACACTGCTCAGAATTTTGGGTAAAAATTGGCCAACTTTGACTCTGATGATAACTTCGCGAGAAATTATCGCAGAATGATGGTCTTTTTTTTTAAATTAGATCTTGAAACCTTTGCTTTAAGACAATGTTTCTGGATTTTTATTTCGATGCACTCTCACCACTGTAATCCTTTAAACGTGAAGCCAAGTATGTCATATTAAAAATTGCAAAGTTTCACAAAATGTACGGACTCCGTAAAATTTTTCTCAGAGATGAAGCTTCATTTGCTGAAAAATGAAGTTTCATCTTTCCCCTTTAATTTAAGGAAAGAGAAATGTGGCTGCGATTTTTGTTCGCAAAGTTACACTATAATTAAGATAAACTGAACTATGTGGACTTTTTTATTTTATTATAGACTCAAAAAGACAATCCCTCTTCCTATAAATGTTCTTGACAGAATTAAAAACGATGTTATGAATCACGTAAAACTTTAATTTTTCATTTAACAGCAATACACATCGAGTTTTTAAAAGATTATCAAAGTAATATATTCGAGCAGTATTGTCACTAGACTGTGAATTTTATGCGCAGGCAAGAATCAATAGTTGCAATTTAAAATAGTAGAAAGATTAAAAGAATTTAAGAGTACCATCTGCATTTTGTATGACTTCTCGAAATTATTCAAACAAGAAGAAGCTTTTAGTTTCTATTCATTGCAATTGATGTAAACAATTTTCAGTCTGCATAAAAATCCACAATCCCATACCACATATTTATAATCAAGATAAACTGAAATAATTACACCAGGAATCAAAGAGACAAAAATTTTGATAAAAGTCCAAATCTTGAGTCGAATTGTTATCGCATGAAACCAAAAATACAGAGTTCCATCAACGTTCGATCGTACGAAAAAAATATTTTTCAGAAACATCGAGCCAGTTCGATCGCAGACATCGACAAGCAACTATTCAGCTTGTAAAGTGATACGTTTTCTTGTGCGAAGCTCTGTTAACAGGGGGTTTTCCCAGCAACCTCAGGCTTCCCATTTCTTTTCTAAATTACAGGCATTTTCCGACTATTGAGCTCGGGTGGTAAATCGCGCGGAAATCTTCGAGGGCCGAAAGAACAGCCTGAGAATCGAGAAGAAAGGGAAACGCGGGCAAGTTTGACAGTGGGGTGAACAAAGCCAGAAAAATCTCGTTCGATTTCGAAGATCGAACGGTATCGACGGATGTCGGCCGGAATTTTCGGGTTACACGATAAGTATTCGGTATTGGTGCGTGACGCGGTTCGATGGAATAGATTCGGAAACGAGCCGCCGAACTTCCGGTGACACGGCTAATAAATGGGATTCTAACTGACGCGATTATTTAGGAATTCCAGAACGTTCCCGTCCTAGTAATTTTACGCGATTACTGGGCGGATCTATTCACGGGTCTTTAGATAGTAATCTATTCAGCGAACCGGATCGAATTGGTTCGTTTATGGGGCTCGAATGGAAGTTTCAAACGACAACATTCTCTCACGCTTTGATCATCCTTATTCTTCGACAAAATTTGATTGATATTACGATAACGTTCTCTCACACTTTGATCACCTTCATTGTTTATCGAACGTCGATAGACGTACGTTTGGATAATAATTTCGATTAGAGCATTTAATTTAAGCAAAGTATTATGTTACATTGAGATGCGGATGAGCATCGACTTATATTAAATTGATCCTAGAAATGTTAATTTATTAACATTATTTTTTCAGTGTATTTTCTTCTGTAAAGCCTATGACAAATTTTGCTAGAATCGT